AAAATCAACAGCTTCCCGTCCCCATACTAAACAATAGTGTTTTGTTGACTGACTCTACACATCAGAGTTGTTGGTATCAGCTATTGTGCATGGTTAAAACATCACTTTTTTGTAGTGTAATATACCGAAAAATTGCAGTTCACTTAAAAAAAACAACACCTTTTTCATGATCAGAATATATATTTTTTTATATTACAGTACAGACTTTACAACCACTGAGTGTGTTTAAAATGCACATTTTATTGCATTAGATACTCAATTGACTTTTTATCAAGCTCCAGCTTTGATAACTATATTCTAGTATACATTGCCGAAAGTTATTAGATTTATTATTAATAACATTATATTTTTTTACAAAACAAATACATTTAAAGAATGTTGTCATTTTTCTGCCAACTGTGAAAACGAACACATACATGACATTTGAGGGCTTTTAACAGATTTGTTTTTCTATGAATACTGCCTGTTGTTCATTTTTAATAAAGTTGTGGGACAGTTTGGCTTTTGACAGCATTCTTGTGTGAATGTCTGTGTGTGTGGATATGGATATGAGTATCCATATCTTTTGGTGTGTACGCGTGCTGTTGTGTGCCCTGGGATAAATATCCGAACAACGGGATGAAGATGGAGTAGAGCAGTGAATATGTGCTTGGTCAGCAGAATTACACTCACTAATTTCTGTTTTTTAAGGCTGATAATTAATCTAAATGGTGTTATATCCAGCAGCATGTATGACAGTTTATTGGTAAGGCACTGTTGTAAATGAGATTTTGGATTGACGAGTGAATGAATCGTATGTGGGCTGTTAATATGTACAAATATGTGTGCGTGTGGTTGTATTTGTGTGGTTAAATGAGATCCCCGATGGGTATACGGGGCAGGCAGATGTATGCCTGTGGGGTTCTGCTGAGGTTGATGGGGTTGCCGTCCAGACGGATGTCCTCCAGTGCTCTTCTGATGTAGCTGAAATCTTGGAGGTTGCAGAACGTGTCCTCGTGCATCATTTGAATATTGTTACGCTGAAACAATACAATACAACTTTATTTGTATAGCACATTTAAAACTACAGGTAGCCACATAATCTTCACATAATCCAGTCAAACAGTAGTAAAGTACAAAGGCAGATAAGCTAGCAGCTGGGAGGCATTGATTAACCGAGCATACAAGTACACAAGTACGCACATAAGCAAGCAAGACTTAACGATAAAAACAAGTTTTCAGCCGTGACCTAGGTTGCACCAAAAGCAATTGGTCAGACGATCTCAGTGTTCTACTGGGAGTATACACGCTAAGGAGATCAATAAGGTAGCTAGGTGCGATATTATTTATCATTTTATAAGTAAGCAGTAGGATTTTGAAATCAATGCGGTATTTAATTGGAAGCCAGTGGAGGCCAGTGAGAATTGGGGTGACAGACTCAAACCTATGAGTACCAGTTAGAAGGCGAGCCGTGGCGTTTTGGACGAGTTGCAGTCTATGAAGAAGGGCAGAATGAAGCCCAGTGTATAGGGAGTTGCAATAGTCTAACCTGGATGTGACAAAGGCATGGATAAGCCTTTCTAGATCCTCACGTGGTAAGTTTGGCTTGGCCTTAGAAATTAAACGAAGTTGATAGAAACAAGATTTAATAACAGAGGACACATGCTCTACAAGCTTAAAGGAGCCGTCCAGGTAAACACCCAAATTACTCGCAGAGTCGGAAAGATAATCAGTGAAGGGCCCGAGGACACCAGTTAGATGGGCTCTAGGGGTATGACTGTCAAAGATTACAATTTCCGTTGTCTTGTCATTAAGGATAAGGGAATTGCTCTGCAGCCAGTATTTAACTTGTCTTATACAATGGAAGAAGCGAAGCATCGATGAAGTATCATCCTCAGTCAATTCAAAATAAATTTGAATAACATCTGCATAGCAATGATAAGAGAGTTTGTACTTTTCAATAATACGACCAAGAGGTAACATAGAGACCCAGCACAGACCCCTGAGGGACACCACATGTAACGGGGGCAATGGAAGAGGAGTAGGTACCCATCGTGAAAGAGAAGGACCTCTCTGATAAGTAAGATTTAAACCAACTAAGGGCCATACTCGTAATGCCAACCAGATGTCCAAGCCTCATTAAGAGGATATTATGTTCCACCAGATCAAAAGCAGAGGACAGGTCCAACAAAACTAAGACCACGGTGCGCCCAGAGTCAGTAATTAAAAGAAGATCATTGAAGACCCTCAAGAGTGCCGTTTCCGTACTATGGCACAGTTTAAACCCAGATTGGAATTGATCCCAGATGT